CCCCCACCCCCCTGGCCCGGCCAATAGCCCTCAGAATGCAGAGGAAGCTTCCTAGGAACACAGCACTGCACCTCAACCTGGCTTTACAAACTGAAAACCAAAGCCTAATGCCACCCACTCTGAAGGAAACCTAATGTTACTCGGACATTAACATTAAGTAAATCTAATTCTTCTTTTTTAAAAATTGTTTATTTATTTATTTTGAGAAAAAGAGAGAATGAGAGGGGAAGAAGGGCAGAGGGAGAGGGTGAGGAGGAGAAAGTGGGGGGGGGGGAGGGAGGGAAGGGGAGAGAGAGAGAGAGAGAGAGAGAGAGAGAGAGAGAGAGAGAGAGAGAATCCCAAGCAGGCCTCAGCTGTCAGCGCAGAGCCCAAAACAGGGCTCACTCCCATGAACTGTGAGATCATGACCTGAGTGAAAATCAAGAGTCAGGACACTTAACCAACTGAGTCACTCAAGCACCCCAAATCTAATTCTTCTAAAGGCAGAAAGCCTTATTACAATTAAAGACTGCCAAGTGATAGAAAATTAACTTTATAATGGAATGGCTGTCTTCCCCCCCCAAAAAAGACCTACAAGATCAAACTTGTACTTCTAAAAAGAAGCAGTCCCAGGGGTTCAGACCCAGGACCCAGACAGGCCCTCCTCTACTACCAGCCTTGTTTTCCTAGGACAAACACAGTGATGACTTAGGTGACACACTCCATGCATTGCCCTGCACAAAGAAAGGGCCAAAAAGTAAGCCACTATTTTCAATGCTCTTTTTATAATATGTATTTAAAAGTGGGTATGCTGGGGCGCCTGGGTGGCGCAGTCGGTTAAGCGTCCGACTTCAGCCAGGTCACGATCTCGCGGTCCGTGAGTTCGAGCCCCGCGTCAGGCTCGCGTCAGGCTCTGGGCTGATGGCTCAGAGCCTGGAGCCTGTTTCCGATTCTGTGTCTCCCTCTCTCTCTGCCCCTCGCCCGTTCATGCTCTGTCTCTCTCTGTCCCAAAAATAAATAAACGTTGAAAAAAAAAAATTAAAAAAAAAAATGCATTTAAAAAAATAAAAGTGGGTATGTCAGACTTAGCTCTGTGCTGCAGTACAGCTGGTGCTCGTTGAACTGTCTTCTCCATAAACAGTATATGGAGTAACATGGAAGAGAAGGACTACCAGACTTCTCAAGGCAGGTCAAAACAAATAAACATTAACCACTAGGCAACTACACGACCTCACGGTGGAGCACATCCTCAGAACCGAACACACACTCCATCCCACACCAGCTCAGCTTCAGCAACTTGTGCCGCCTCCCCATGTTATTACTGCAAGTGCCCATAAGGACCTGCTTGACTCTCTCACTTTGTTCTTGAAATATTGTCAGAATTTTTACCCATTTTCATGCCTCTACTAATTCTTTCATGGAAGTGAGCATGCCTTCTTTATATCTTCCACAGCATCTTAAACTCACTCTCCATCACAGCCAAAGCACAACATGACTGGTTACTGGGAACACACAGGTAATAATAAACCCACAAACACAAAGGGCTAAATGGCTCTAATCCAGCAGAAAGAAAACTACATGGTCAAAAAGCAGTAGAGGAATCTCTCTAAAAGTACAAGTTGATACATGTCAAGAAATACATTCTCCCTACTAAGTATACACAATCCAGAACACACACACACAGATGCCATATGCTCAAGTGATATTCCACCGCATCGAATGAAACTCACCCCATGATATCCCACACCTGTCCTACATCTGACTCACTATTGTCATCACCAAATACACACTTTCCCCTAGAGACACCTACTGCCACAGACATGCACTCTGGTTTTCTTTATAAAAGTCTAACTCTTTTAGGATAACTGAATTAAGAAAGCTACTTAAAGGCACCGGTTTTTTATGGTACTTACGTGAGCGTCACCTTCTGTATGAGGGGCATCTTTACTGCAGATGATACTCTGGAATCTTTGCAGTAAAGGGAGAAGAGGAGCACTGGTACCCTGGGCAGACCGCTCATTGTCAGTTTCCTGCGTCCCACTGTCCCACAATTGAAGCAACAACAGGATGGCAGATAACATTTGGCTGAAAGAGAAAATATCTTTATTATCTAGTAAAAACATATTAGCTTTTATTGCCATGGACTGTCAAAAATAAAAGCAGACAGCTAAATAAAATAGAAAAAATACTTTAGATTGAAAAGGAAACTAAACTAACGCCATGAAAACAATTCTTGGCAGTAAAATCACTTAATCAATGCCAAGATTTTAGCACAACATATCCACCTTCTGAGGATAAGAAATATAAAACCAGTTAAGAAGTTCCAACAGCACTTTCTAAAGAGAATTTCTAGGACCTTAAACTAATGGAATAAAAATCATTTGAAGAAAATTAAAAAGAAAAAAAAAGGAACAGGTCTTAGACTACAAAAGTTGAACATAAAACATGAAGTGAAGAGGAGCGCCTGGGTGGCTCAGTCAGTTAAGGTGCCAACTCTTGATTTTTGGCTCAGGTCACGATCTCACAATTTATGGGTTTGAGCACTACATCGGGCTCTGGACTAACGGTGCAGAGCTTGCTTGAAATTCTCTCTCCCCCTCTCTCTCTACTCTTCCCCTGCTTGCTCTCTAAAAAAATAAATAAACAAACTTAAAAAAAAAAAAAAAAAAAGGGAAGTGAAGAAAACCTAAGTGTACCCAGGCTTGAAAGAAGAGAAAGTCCTGGGATACGGTTCTTTGATTATAGAACACCACACATTTTTATAAACACAAATGATTCAATGAAATGCCATAAAGTGAAACAGATGTTCAGATACAGAGGTGTTCCATGAAATGCTCCCAGCCGGCAGCACCCCTTACCTCAGTGTGCCTCTCTGCACAGCCAGCTCTAACAGAATGGCCAGGGCCAGGTGCTGGTCCTGCAGGGGGATGCTTCCTGGCCCTTTGGTACCAGGCGTTCCATGAACATCTCTGAAATGACAGCAGTGGATGCAAGACCAAAGTAACATGAGAACTTAAAGACAGCATGTATATTTTTAATATTTAGAATCAAGTTTCTGAGACTACTCAAATTTAATCAGAGATTTTAAAGTATACAATTAACGAGGTGCCTGAGTTAAGCATCTGACTTCAGCTCAGATCATGATCTCCTGGCTTGTGAGTTTAAACCCCGCATCAGGCTCCGTGCTGACAGCTCAGAGCCTGGGGCCTGCTTCAGCTTCTGTCTCTGTCTCCCTCTGCCCTCCCCCACTCATGCAGTCTCTCTCTCTCTTAAATATAAATAGACATTAAAAAAATTTTAATAAAAAATAAAGTATACAATTAACTTAAAAAGATATGTTTTTATTAAAAGACTTCTGATACAAAAGATGACTACATTAGAAAACACATATTCCAGTTTCCACAGCATAAAATTATTTATATCATTATTCAAATCATGAGTAGAAACATGTTTAGATATGTTTCCACTTTCAGTGAAATCTAAGACTATTAGAGTATCAACATCCCTCTATGAAAATGGAGAAAAATCAACTTCTAAAAGCACCTGAGACTCTAGACAAAATGTCTATGCTTATTTTTATCTTTTATCAAATAAATATTTTAACTTTTCCCCAATAATAAATGACAATTCTTCTGAACCCAAGATGGAGAACTGAGGGCTTTCTGACATCAACATTATAGCTGAATATTTGAAATTACAGTTGAACCCTGAACAACACGAGTTTGAACTGCACAAATTCACTTATATGCAGATTTTTTTTCAATACAGATATTGGAAAATTTTTTGGAGATTTGCAACAATTTGAAAAAACTCACAGATGAACCATGTAGCTTAGAAATACCAAAAAATTTAAGAAAAGGGTATTATTATAAAAATACAGTAAATAATACATACAACATAAAATACGCATTGATCAACTGTTCATGTTATCGGTCAGGCTTCTAGTCAACATGCTATTAGTTTAGTTTGGGGAAGTAAAATGTTATATGTGGATTTTTAACTGCGTGAATGGCTGGCACCTCTACCCCCTACATTGTTCAAGGATCAACTGTAATTCAAAGCCTATTTTCAGGGCCCCCAGCCCAAAACCTTGTCACAATGCCTATATCAGCTCTCTAGGGAGCCAAACTCACAGTCTGTTAGCACAGAGACCACAGGTGTCCTTGCACATTGGAAGGGGCAGAGCAGTGACCTCTTTTGACAAAGCAAATGAGAAAAGATTCACTTCTCTAATTATGTCTTTGGCGTTGAATTACGTTTTAAGTATATATACTTTTTCTTTTTAAAAACCTAAAAATTTAAAGTTAACAAAAATATATAACACCCAAGACCAGAGTTCAGGGTTTTCCTTATAGAAAATGATTCACATTCAAAAATTTTTTACACTAAAAAGAATAGATTGAGGTTTAAACATTTTGATCTTGAGTAGCTGTTTAGTACCATGTTGCCTATTAAGACAACACCCATCACTCAGAATGGTAGCATCCATATTCTCAGTGAAAGGCACCCAATAGATGCTCACTTAATGAATGACTGATACCCAAATCATAAATACCTGAAAAAAAATACATTACAAAAATATTTCTCATTTTTCCATCTGATTCAGTATGATAGCTTCCAGGGTCTAATCAGAATATCAAAAGCAAACATTTGAAAAGCTGAAAACCAAGATCCAGAATAACAAAGCTGAGGGCAGGCTGGAGACATACACACAAACCTGCTCTAAAGAGAAGGTGAGACAAGACTGAAACATGTTAGAACCATTCAGAGTTAAGATGTGAAAAGAAAGAACTCACCCTGTCACGACGGATCTAAGGAACTTGGCTGCTCTCTCTACCACCTCCAGCCACACAGAGGACACTGTGCTCTCATCAAAGAGCGAGGCCTCAGGCAGGGCTCTCAGGGCATCCAGGGACTCCTGCAATAGCTCGCTGCATAGATCCGCATCTTCACCTGGGCACACATGCATCAGAGGAGGCCATCCACTCCTCAGGCAGCACTGACAAGTAAAGCCCTCCCCACTCTCCCAGATGGTCCTCCAACCCCTCTGTGTGAGAAGATACCACTGTCACATTTTCAATCCCTCACTTTCCTCTCAATGAGATACTCCAAGAACTCAAGAGATTAAAACTTAATACAGGTGCCCCAAAGTCAGTTCTTTATGTTATGACTCTCTCATGAGCAATTCTAACTTCTTGTTCTCCTAGAAAATAAATCAGCACTGATGTACTAACAGTGGTTTACCTGCGATATAAACACATACACGCTTTTTCTTATTTTTTTTTTTTTTTTAAAGAACAGACCTGAAAAGTCAAATAGACTGAAGCCTCTCATTCTACAAACAAGAAAAATGAGGCACACAGACTATATGGGATCAGCCCAAGGGCATGTGGTGGCAGAACTGAGAAGAGAACCCAAGTCTCCTGATGTGGTGAGGAAACCGAACGGACACTCTGGGCCCACATACCTGATCGCCACGCCCTGCGTAAAAAGGCAAAGGCAAAGGAGAGAGCTGCTCGTGATCCGACTCTCGCAAGTCCTTCCACTCCTTTGCCTGTGGGTCGGGAACTGCGGACAACACACATGGGAGTTGTGATAACTGGTCAGAGGACTGTGCAAATACTAAAATAAAATAAATAATATGGAAGGATTTGTACCAAAATGTGATCACTGAATTTCTTTAGACAGCAGGATCACAAGTGACTTTTAGTTTCATATTTAAAAACTTTTACCAAATGTCCTTTGTAAAGGAAGTTCCCTCTTTAAGGAAGGGAAAAAAAAGGCATTTATAGAGAATTTTAAATGACTTGCAGAAATTCTCACAAAATAATCTCAGAGAGCTGATATTATTAGTCAGGGAGACACACATGGTAAACAGAAAATCAACATATAAATACATAAATGGAGAGATTAAAGCTCATGTAGCAAAGAAAAGGCAGGTGAGGGCGTTGAGAGAACAATACGACAAATTCCCGGGACTGCACCTAGGGCTATGGAATCTGTATTTGCTTTGGCCCCTTTTAGGTCTATGTGCTGACCAGGAGTAGAGACTCCATGAACCTGTCCTATTCTCTTTCACCCTCATCTTGCTGAGTTTATCCTCTCCTGAATTTAGTGCTTATCATTCTCACATGTCTTTTTTAAGCTTTTTACTACTTCTGTATGTAAATTTAACAAGATATGCATATTTTTTAAAGTTATACAAATAGTATACCATATTCTAAAAAAAAAAAAAACTAGAATACAAAAAAAGTGTACAATATAAACTCAATCATGCAACTTTATACGGCTGAATATTTCTACTATGTATTATATTTTTCAAACTTACTATAATATTCTTTCACAATCAGGGGGAAATGCTATGAAAAATAGGTAATGATATGGAATGACCTTCCCAAGATACAATGTCAAGTAAAATTAGCAGTGAAGAACGTGTGGATCCCAGAGAGGCAGCTAGTATGCACATTCTGTGAATCCTGAGCTCTAAGAGGGAAGCTCATGAGGAGACACAAGAAACTGTAATTAGTGGCTGCCTCTAATGAGGGGACTGGGTGCCTAGGAGACAGGATTAAGGAGATTAAAACTTTATTTCTGAATGAGAAATATATATATTACAAGATACATATGTATAATAATACACGTGGTCTTTAAAACGGGAAGTACACATGCTACGTCTATTCTCCCTCTGGGAGAAAATTGCTCCAGGAAAAGCATGAAACTGGGGCTCCCTTCAGGTAATCATAATGGCCCCTGAGAAAGTGCCCAACAGTCCTCAATCTGCACAGTTTAAAAACTGCTAAATCTTCAATAAGTCACTCTCTATTTTACAGATACTCAAGGAAAAAAAAAGCAAATAGCTTAGACCCACTCCCATCCACACCAGTCAACAATCCAACCCATTGCTAATTCCACAAAAAAAGGTGAAATCCACCACTATTCAGTAAATTGAGAAATGAGGAAATCTACAAAAATTTAGAAGATATCATGACACATCTAACAGACTGGCTAAAACAAAGCAGCAACAAATTCAAACGCTGACAAGGCTATGGAGAAACTAAATCATTCATACATAGTTGATGAGACTATACAATTACACAGCTATTTTGCAAAGAGCGCAGCAATGACCTACAAACCTAAACATAAGACCCAACAATTGAACTCCAGGGCATTTATTCCAAAAAAATGAAACTGAGGTTCACACAAAAACCTGTCCACAAATATTCACAGCAGCTTTAATTCAAAAAACTCAAAAACTGTAAATAACTTATGTCCTTCACTGGATGGTTAAACCAAATGAGGCACATCCATGTCACAGAATTTTACTATGCAATGATGATACATACAATTACTTGAAAGAATCTCAAGGAGGTAACCCTGATTGAAAAAAGCCAAGGTTACATAATAGACATGAAGAACACATTAGTGGCTGAAGAGGATAAGGCAAAGGGGAGGGAAAAGGAGGTGAATGTGGCTATAAAAAGGCTCCTTGTCCTGTACTCTAACTGTGGCAATAGTGAGAGAAATCCAAACCTGTGATAAAATTGTATGGAAACACAATGGACACATGCATGCACTGAGAACATGTAAAAAAGTGAGTTGAAAACATGTAAAACTGAGGAAATATGAGTAAGAGAAGTAAACTGTATCAAAGTCAATATCCTCATTGTGATAGTATACCGCAGTTTTGCAAGTGGCTACCACTGGGGGAAAGTAGATGAAGGGTATAAGGAATCTGTACTATTTCTTACAACTCCATGTGAACCCATAATTATCTCAAAATATGTATTTTTTTTAATTTTAGGAATTTGCTTGCTTCAGTGAAAGACAGATTTCAATTAACCCACCAACTCTTATGTCACCACAAAGGAAAAAGCACAAAGAAAAATCAGTTGGGGTCTAAGACACTTCTGCATCTTAGAGAATTCATTTTCATTCAACAAACACACAGGAACACTTAAAAGGCTTAGAATCTATCATCCCCATATGCAGAACCCCTCCCTGATCAATGATCACTACAAAGACCACTCAATCTCCAGCCAAGAAAGAAAGAACTGTGCTGCTGGTTATCATCACATGGGCAGGAATCCTCCTCTGTCACTTGGTTTAATTTATCTTAAAACTACTATCAAATATAGGACATGTAATGTGGTTTGAACTAGATTTAAAAGGAAAAAATACATGAAACATGATACATTTAGCAATTCTTGTCTCCCAGTAGCAAAATAAGGTTTCCCCCCTGCTTCTTTCTGCCCCTGTACATTCCATGTGCTCTCTAGGGAATAAAAATCAGTATTACAATCAAATAAAACCAATTCTTTTTACTACATAAAATATGAGTTAAATCTGGAAATCTTTTAGTCGATGCTTCTGAGAACAAAAGTGTGGTAGAAAGCTACATTTTGGGAAAAGAAAACTCTACACAAGCCTTAAGCATTCTACTTACATCTGAGAACAATCTGCTGATGTACACCAGTATATTAAAAATCATATATCTGGGGGCGCCTGGGTGGCGCAGTCGGTTAAGCATCCGACTTCAGCCAGGTCACGATCTCGCGGTCCGTGAGTTTGAGCCCCGCGTCGGGCTCTGGGCTGATGGCTCAGAGCCTGGAGCCTGTTTCCGATTCTGTGTCTCCCTCTCTCTCTGCCCCTCCCCCGTTCATGCTCTGTCTCTCTCTGTCCCAAAAATAAATAAACGTTGAAAAAAAAAATTAAAAAAAATC